CAGTCTTGTTTTGAAACGCAACTTCGAAATTACAGTTATATATAGGTTGATTTAAGAAATGTAGATAATGAAGAAAACGTAAACTCCAAAAAGCCATACGTTTTTACATCACGTGCAGAGCTAGGGAATGGAAAAGAGAATAAACAGATTCAAGTTTTGCCACCCGCCAAAGTGATAATACCTTGTTTACCTTTCTCAGCTTTTTGTGTCCGAATTCACTTCAGAGGTATTTCTAATCCTCCTGGCTTCAAACGATTCGTTCTCGCAGACTAAAAGAATCCAGCAAGCGATAATTTACTCTTCGAAGAGACCAAGTGAGTCCAATTGAGCGCTGTGAACAGTACGAGCTCAATTTTAAACTGCAAATGAAATGCTATCCGTTCGATTTAGTTCTGGGAAGTTGCTTCAACGCTTCCGGCTTGATCACAAGAAATCGGAATTCAAAGCCAGGAATATAATATGACGCAAAAAACGTAACGCAACAGGTAACTCCTCTCGCAGAAGCTGACTAAATAACAAACCGTATGAACAACAACTGAAATTTGGTGAATGGGAGAAATGCCCCAACCAAATAAGCTGTATACGGCAATTTAAGAGGATACTCAAATTAGGCTGTACAGTGGTGTTTGAAGATCTAGCCCGGGGCGGGGGGGCGGCGGAGGGGCTAACATATTTGTCTCACGCGCTCAGCTGATTCAGAAAACTCATAACTTAGATTTAGTAACATCAGAAAATGATAAGAGACAAAGTTATTTCTTCCTAGTAGGAAACCTTCAAGAAAACTTAAGATTTAAAAACGGGCCTTGTGAAGACGTTCAAAATGGCTCTTTTTAAGGGCCACCACAAAAATAGAAGTCTCGGTCTTCAATTCGTTCGCTTTGATATTCTTTTGTCATTGATTTTTGATAGGAAATTGGGAATTGAAATAATTACTATATCCTGGATTTCCGTGATACATACTTAAGCTTAACAGATGTATGGGTTTTCTGAAAACAGAATGCCTGGATTCCTCTTGTAAAGGCAGCTTTATTTCTACGGTCAGGCCTACCGTTCACACTAATCCGTCACGAAAACGGAGCTATTTAGGGCTTTCCACAAGTTTCTCGAGATTTCCCAAAAAGTTGCCCGCTATTTCTCAAAAAGTTGCTCAAAAAAGCAAAAGTTGCTTTCTGTAACGCAAGTTGCTCAAAAATTGCTTAAAAAAAAAACAAAAAAAAAATTTTGTTGCTCTCTTCCTTTATTTGGTCTGATGCAAAAATATACAAATTGACGGAAATTGTACAACAAAAGTAAGATTTCTAAGCATTTTTGTGCAATTTTGCGGCGTAACCAGCGTTGCTAAATAACATTGTCCTTAATCAAAACCAAATATTAATATTAAGCTTGTAAAAATTCTTCATCAAGGACACTCGAGTCAATCGAGTGTGAATCGCCGTCCACCATTTTGAATTTTCTTTAAAAAAAAAACCGATGACCTAGCAGCCCGGCTGCATCCATCTTGCACCCATCATCCGCCTCAGGGGTAAGGGGGGAGGGGGATATCTGGCTCCTTTTTTCACAGGAAATTCATAAATTGTCTACTAAAACACTGCGAAATATGGAAACATGGCCAATTTAACTACTAAAAGCTGCTCCAATTTCTCAGAATTGATAAAAAAAACTAGAAATTGCTCAGAGAGCGAAAAGTTGCTCAAAAGATATACAAGAAGTTGCCAAAAAGTTGAAAGCCCTAGAGCTATTCGTAAACGCTTTTCAAACCGGAGGAATTTGAAAACGCCGGCTTTGCGTTTTATGGTTAACGGTAAACATTTTAAAAACGGAACCTTTCAAAAACCTTGACGTCACGATAATCGGGTTATTTCCCTGCCCAAGTTATCCTCAAACACAAATCCAAAATGGCGCTTATTGTTGCGTTTTTAAAATTTATCCGGCGTAGTGTGGACGGAACACATTTGATGCGTTTTCAAATTTTCCGGCTTAGTGTGGACGGAACCTTAAATTCAAATACATGCGTAGTACATGTGTCGTGTTTGTTACTCCGGGTTGTTTTACGTCCTTACTCAAATTGAAATGGCCGAAGGAAATAAAATTGGTTAATTTAGTGACTTCTTGATTTGCGGTTAGCATTTTTCGGGTTGATCTCAGCTGAATCATCAAAATGATTTTTAATTTAGTGATTTATCATGAAAGAGGTTTGATTTGCTGACCAAAATAGCATTTAAAGAAAGTGAAGCCTTGGAGACGAATGGCTTATAGCTGCCAGAGCTTATCCCGGTTTCTGTAGCATGAAGCGGCTAGGAGTATTTTCACTCCCCCTGGACGGGATGCTAGTCCATCGCAGGCCACTCCCCCGCAATTTGTTAGGTTTCCCCAACAATTCGCCGGTACCCATTTATACTCCTAGTACTCCTGGGTGGAGAGAGGCACTGTGAGAGTTAAGTGTCTTGCCCAAAAACACAACACAGTGTCCCCAGCCAGGGCTCAAACCCAGACTGCTCACTCCGGAGTCAAGTGCACTAACCATGAGGCCACCGCGCCTTCCATTAAAATAAAAATAGCATTTAAGGTCACATTTAATTTCACCTTGCACCTGTATGGTAGCATCCTAACTTCCAGACCCCGTACATTTTTTTTTGAGTACATACCAAAGTGAGCCCGCAACTTGTCACAGGAAGAAAAAGTAACACGACCTCAAGAAACGAGAGTGGTTTGCTTGTGACTTTTTGACAGCAGTCCGACATTAAAAATATTGCGGATCCACGTAAACAAGCCGATTAGTGACAGAGCTTGATGAGAAGAAAAGATAAACACCAGTTTCCTTCAGCATGTGGGTGGTCAGTCAGTCATTTGCTTGGTTGTAGTGTATGTTTTGGGTAATTCTGCTGACCTGGCGCTGACTACGTAATATTAGAAAGAGACGGGAGAAGAGGAACTGAAGGCCGAGGACCATAGCAACTGGCAGTGATACTCAGCAGCAACTGTCTTGTGTTTAGGGTAGTTAGCTCAAAGAGCCCTTTGATTTGTCTCGAGCGCGCGCTCAGCACGTGACATTCGCCTACAGAACAAAGTTGTAACAACATGGAAGACTCAGAGAAAGTGTGTTTGAATTTAGCATTGAGCTTGGTGCCGTTTTTTAACATTTTAAGAGAAGACATGGAAGAGAATATTAATCAACTTGCCCAAGACTTAGAAAAATGTTGTCACAACAATCCCGACGTTGAAGTAATCCATACCGGAAGTGGATTCGAAGGACTTTCTCTTCCTCATCTAGAGAAACGACAAGCGTGGAACACCGATGCCGATCATATGATCATAAGAACCAACTTAAAAGTACATGAGGGAATGCGGCGAGAAGAGAAAGATCCAGAGAAAAGTGTCAATGTGGAGCAAGATTTGTCTGGAGTCGGTGAAGGCGGCGAAGGCTCAACGATAGCTGCAAACATGAACGTCGCGGAGGATATCTTGTACACCTTTGACGCGTTACACTCGGGCTATGCACACGTGTCAAAAAAGAAAGTCTTTCATCCGATGGATACATCTTTCATTCGGGAGCACTGCCTTCAGAACTCTGAATTCATTGAGAACAGTCAAGATTCGATTCCTCTCAGTCGCACCACCTTAATGGCTGTAGGTGACGGCACCATCACAGGCCCGTCGTATTCTCTTCCCTATACTGGAGGGTCTTTCATTGTTAATCGAGACTTTGTTTATGGTCTCAAATGTGAATTCTGGCCCTCACAAGCGGAGGAATGGATACACCGAGACAGACGTCAGAACTGGCCGAGCCCGGAACTCATCTCCTCGATATCAGCAAAGGGCTGCCACCTCGTGCCAGTTGGTTCCCATACCAGCAGCTTACGAGAATTTGAATGGAGATATTCTTTTTCGGTAGCTGAGATGACGCTCGCTGGATTCCTAACAGAGAATCACAAGTTAGCTTACTCTGTTCTGAAGTCGCTGATCAAGAGCGAGATGAAGCTGCGTGACATTGATGTGTTCGCGTCGTTTCATCTCAAAACTTGTTTGTTTTGGTTCCTTGAGCAGAAGGGAGTCGAATCGTGGGGGAAACAGAGCTTAGGGACGAATATTCTTGAACTTCTTGACTTTATTATTTCATTCTACGCCAACGGTTCTGTCCCAAGCTATTTCATTTCTAAGAATAATATGATAGATCACCGTTCTTCAGAGGAAATTTGGAAAGCATGTCACGCTCTCGGAGACATTCGAGCCACTGTAACGCAATCCCTGTGTCGTTATATTGAAACCAATCACGCACTTCCGGTTTTCTTCGATACTTCTCTCACTCAGCAGCTCAAAGAAAACCATGAAAAGTTTGTTCAAAACTGCAAATACAATTTTCTTGTGATGGCTTTGGCTTACATCCTAAAAGGCATAAAAATGGAGAAAAACCACCAATGTGAAGCAGATTGTCTGGTCAAGAAAGCCCGGCTTCTGCACGAAGCTAAACTGGATGGAAGCACACAGAAGTACGCACAGCTGCTTGCAGCTCTTTCTGAAGTTTCACATGCCGCTGAAAGTTCAACGTCAAGCATGGTGCTTTCACTGTTAGAGGAGTACTTAGCCGCAGATCAGCTGAAAGTAACAGAAAGCAGCGCGGTAGCACTTGCAGTATTTAACGTATTCTTAACTCTTCATCCCACTACACAGGGCGAAGCTGGCTTTGAAAGCAATTCTGCAGGGTTTCAAGAACACCTGACCAATCTTGCGGTCAAGGAATCTCTCTTTTGGGCAGCGCGACTACACGAGAAGTACTGTGACGCCATTTATGATTTTGTGGTAAAGAAATGGGTAAATGGCCCCAAATTCCACACCGATGATGACGACGCTAAAAAGGTCATGAAGCTGTTGATGGTAGTTCTCGGAAAACCAACAAAACAGGCCAGTGCAGTAACCGGCTCAGTAGTCAAACGAACGATCGAAGGCCAAAGGTTTATCCAGATGCGTTTCTTGGCAGACTATTTGCTGCACGTACATTTAGAGAGTGCCTACATCGCTTTCCAAGCTGTCGCTTATCTCATGGGCAGAAGTGTTCTGTCCGAAATTTATGTGATTATCAATAGGTCTGCTTATAATCAGAGCAAGCTACGTGCAATAGAATTAGTCTTGTCTAAACAAGAATTACAATCTGAACTCTCTGAGAAAGATTTTGCCAAGCTGGTTCAAACGCAACATGAGTTATTGAATTGATTAACTATGTCGGCGAAAGCTATTTTAAAGTAACCGCTCTGAAGTCTTTGTTACCATATCTATACTGTTGACGACTCAAAACATCCCTGATTCCAATAAATCTTGCACTAGCTGTGTAGATCAGTATTGTCTTACGGATAGTAAAATATGTTACATTCAGTTAAGCAGTTAATTGTACATTAGTCATTTTTCGCAGCTCAATGTCAATTTTTTTTCAACAACTCCACTCTCGCCTTCTTACGGTGGAGAAAGTCTCTTTAATAAATATCATTCCCGCTATTCAAAACACGAAGATACACATTAACCCCAAACCAAGCTTCTACCTTTACTACCTGCCCCTCCGGGGGCTCCCCAGGGACCTGGGGCCCGTTTCTCGAAAGCCCCGGAAACTTTCCGAGCCCGTAAAGCCATTTTTAGTTCATCTGTATCTAAAAACGGAAAAGTGTATACGCCTGAAACGTCTTGTATGAAGGGAACCTCTGTTCATATTAAGAATATGTAAACAAAACAGCTCTGTAATAGTAAGGGTAGAGATTTTGCTGCGGCTTTCCGGGCCCGAAAAGTTTCCGGGACTTTCGAGAAACGGGCCCCTGCCCTCACTCCCTCGGACGTTTTGAAAAATTTCGGACAGAGCGCCACGTATTTAGTCTCCAATCCCTTTCAGTTACAATGTAACAGTCACACAACATTTGATCAACATGGCGGCCACAACAAGATCACTATTACGGCCCTTACGGTTCAAATTATTTTACCTTTTACATATTTTGTTATTTGCTGGTATGAGTATAGCAGAATTTGAGGTTCTTGATGAATACTCTCTTACAAATATCACTGCATCAGTCAGGAGTGCCTGTGTATTAGTTGCTTTGCAGCCCACGTGTGAGCTTACCTCGATTCTTCACAAACTTTCGCAGGCTTTTAAGAATGAAAGTAGTGCAAGCATTGGAGTATTAAAACAGTCTGATGGTAGCTCGATCACCTGGGAAAATAGCAGGAGTCTAGATATGGTTGATCAAGAAGATCTAGCGTTTTTTCCGCCCAAATTGGTGGACAGAACTTGCCTCATCCAACCAAGTTGGCAAAAACGACCCAAAGCTGAACGTTACTACGGATCAAGAACTCTTCAAGAATTGCTTGCATTTATTAACGCCAAATGCGGTACTTTCAGGCAGTTGGATGGAAGTTTATCCTCTGCTGGTTTAGCAAGGAAAAGAATAATAGATAATTTGTATCGGGTCCCAAACAGTGACGGTCCGAACCATGCCTCATATTCTGGACCTGTCAACATTGGCTCCACATGTGAGAGAATTCCCTTACCTTCCAAAGAAAAATTTTTCCATGAATATTTCTTTCGATCAAAACCAGTAGTGATCACAGGTAAAAAAAAATTCAATGAGTTTGTGAACCGAATAATTTCACTAAGTGGAAGTTACATAATACCAAACTTTTTCATAGACCCTGATGCACCCCAACCCCACACCCCTNCCCCCCCCCCCTTATCAGCATGCCTCTTGTTGTCAGTTAAAACAATTCCAAACATGTGAATTTTCATGAAAACCCAATGAACTTGTCTAGAGATTGCATTTGCTAGCCTGAAATCGTTAAAGTAGAGTATGAAATTACACTAAAATTTCCAAATGGGTTGGCGAGTGTTTCCTTTTACCACATTCTCTGCAAGATCCATCTAGTCATCTTACTGTCTTGTTGTAACAAAATAACAGATGATTGAGTAGAATAATTAAAGACCTGACCATCCCTTTTAATTAAGCCTGTTGATCAAAGCCCAGATTCCTCCCAAAAGACTCAAATCATTGTATGAAAGCTGTCAGAAGAACTTTGGTGTTGAACCTCAGGGTCATGTTTTGCCTCTTTGTTTTTGTATTTATCATCTAGGTGCATTAAAAAACTGGCCTGCGATGAAAAAGTGGACGACAGAATTTCTAACAACAAAGTTTGGTGACAAGATGGTACGAGTAGCATTCGCCCCTTATGGTGAATATGAGGGATGCGAAAAGGCTCATGACTTTGAAGACTTTAAAGATTTCAAGTTTCCTGATGTGGTCAAATCGCAGTTACCATTTCCAGATTTAGTGGTGGTTCGTCCTGCATTTCTGGAAATTCCTTTCTCTACATTTATGAGCATTTTGCAGTCATCCAATGACAGTAACATTTCTGCTTATCTAGAATACTCTTCTATACCTAGTTTACTACCAGAACTTGAGCAGGACATCAAAGAGATGCCTTTTCTTTCTGGGGAATTAAAACGACGACATCTTAATATTTGGCTTAGCAATGGAAATACATTGGGCAAGCTGCATTTTGATCCCTTTGACAACTTTCTATGTCAGGTTAGTCAAAATACAAGTTCTCCTTACTCAGGGCTCTACTTTCAGGAAAAAACCTTGGGGCCAGCTGGCCCCTAAGGTTTCAGACTTAGTTGATGGCAAAAGTATTTCAGTGAAAAGCGTGAAAAGTTAGTCACCAGTGAACAAAAATTGGTTGCATTGGTGAACCCAGCAGTTGCAACATTGAGCTCTGTTACTTCTAACCATATATTTCTTGTAGTCTGAAGTTGGGGAATTTGTTTACGTACGTAGATTAAAAGTTGAATAATCAGACATCCTTATTTGTGAAATGCCTTAATTCTTCTCTCACAGACGTTATGCAGATTGCTCTTAAGTGCTAGCCAGCTGACACGGATTGATTCCTGCATGTTGTTTCTAATGCCGCCATGAAACAACAGATAGTATTATTTGACAAAAGGAAAAACAACAAGCAGGAAGAATTATTATTAAACCTGTCTGTGTTGGCAAGTTTTAGTGCTACATCATCACGGTACTTTTGTTTCCTTGCATGGGTGGGGGCTGGGAGGCATGCATTACAAATGATTTTCCTGTAAGAATGTATAATATAGATATAATAATTATATTTTATATACATATTATTTTAGGCTGGAAGAATAGAATGATTTTAAAGTTTCCTCAAAGTTAAATCGGTTAAACTCAGCACTGTATTCAAAGTCTACTTGTACTTATAGATCCACATGCCATGTGACTGTCTGACATGAATATTTGTTTCCTCCAGATCAGTGGAAAAAAACAATTATTTATTTATGAGCCACATGACAACACAAAACTATATGAAGCACACATCCAGGAAGCTACACTAGACTACAATGCAGCCAGCAGAAAGTTCCGCCGCAAAAAACTACTGGAAAGTACATCAATGGTCATGTCTCCAGTTGACATTCTTAATCCAGATTACCGCAGATTTCCAAAGTTTAAGGAGGCACGTGCCTTGAATTGTACAATCAATGAAGGTGATGTCTTGTTTATGCCTTCATTCTGGTGGCACGAGGTCCAATCATATCCCAGTAGGGAAGAACCAAGGAATGTGGCTGTGAATTTCTGGTAAGGTCCTTATTAGGTTTCAGTAAAAGCAATGGCAGATCTAGAGGACGGAACCGGGGGGTCCTCCCACCCCCCATAAGTTTGTGTAAAAAGAAATCGCAGAAGGAGGAAAAGCCGGCAAGGCAAGCCAAAAAATAAAAAAGCCCCCCTCCCTTTAGCTCAAGGTCTGGATCCGCCACTGAAAAAGACCTTTTAATCAGTAAAGTTCCATTAGTTGTTTTCACTAATGAGTTTTGAAAGTGACATTTACATTATTTTGCTTTGCTTTTGCATAAATACACTAATAGCAATTGGCTTAAAATGCTCTCCTGCTTTGTCATCCAATTTGAAAGTAAAACCAAACTAATAGGAACACATACATTTTCCTGTGCTTCACACCAGCTAGATAAATTTAAAGTAACTTAAGCTTAGTCTTGAAAATCTGTTTAATCAAGAATAATCAAGGCTTGACTGTAGTTATTGATTTTTCCATGTTTATTTCTGTCAATATTGTAGGTATGAACCATTTTTGACAAAGGAGTTTCCTTGTGCCACATGCAAGATGGATGTGAATTCTTTTTACCATCACATGTTGGACCCATGATAATTATACTGTTCTATAAACATGTAGGAATGGTTAATCAATAGGCCATATATTTGTATTCTCGGGATTGAACTGGAATTAGCTTGCAATAGAGGCTTATGTGGGGGAATATCACTAAATAGAGCCGACATTAGCCTCAGTTGCAAGCTAGTTTCAGTCCAGTAAGGTAAAGGTAAAGTCTGTATACGAGCCAAGTGGCCCATCAGGCCAGAGCTTATCCCGGTTTCTGTAGCATGAAGGGACTAGGAGTATTTCTACTCCCCCCTGGATGGGATGCTAG